AGCATGATGGGATGATGCTGTTCTCACAGAAATGTATATATGACGTCACAGTGTTTGTGTATTTGTCTAGACTGTCTGTAGAAGTCCTGAACAGGTCCCAGTCTGTGGTGTCCAAACGTGCGTAGCTCCTCCACAGCTTCACTGGTCCACTTTTTGGATGTCCTTACCACAGGTTTTGAGAGCTTCAGTCTCTGTCTGTATGCAGGTATGAGGTGAATCATCTCATGATCTGAGAGACCCAGGGCAGCACGAGGCACAGCACGATAAGCACCGCTCACTGTGGTGTAACAGTGATCCAGCGTGTTTCCTTCTCTGGTCGGGCATTTAATAAACTGTTTATATTTAGGTAGTTCATGCCTGAGGTTTGCTTTGTTAAAATCTCCAAGGATTATAACAAGAGAGTCCGGAAAAGTCCGCTCTACACTCGTAATCTGGTCCGCGAGCGCGCGCTCAGCCTCGTGCACATCCGTGCACGGTGGTATCTAAACCGCGGCCAGAATAAATTAAGTTAACTCACGTGGAGAGTAGAACGGTTTGCAGTTTATGAAGAGATATTCCAGAGAAGGAGAGCAGTGCAGGGAGATCACTGTCTTGTCGGAGCACTAGGCGTTGTTGATAAAAAAAGAGTCTCCTCCGCCTTTTTTCTTTCCTCCGGAAAGTTCTTGCTGTCTGTCAGAGCGGAGGAGCTGGAAACCCTCGAGATGGAGCGCGGAGTCCGGGGTCTTCTCGTTGAGCCATGTCTCCGTGAAGCACAGCACACAGGAGGAGGAAAATCGCTGTTCCTTCTCATCAGCAGCGCTGTCTCGTCCATTTTGTTGTAGAGGGAACGGACGTTGGAGAGAAATATTCCAGGTAAAGGCGTGCGTGTACCGCGCCTCCGGAGACACACGAGCGCTCCGGCTCTTCTGCCCCTCAGATCAGCAGCAACATGAAACCGATCAGTAGCAACTTGAAACCGATCAGCAGCAACATGAAACAGATCAGCAGCAACATGAAACAGATCAGCAGCAACATGATGTGATTTTTCCACAGTAATTATTTTGGTTAGATATTCATGAGTCTAACAGCCTCAGGGTAGAAGCTGTTCCTCAGTCTAGTGGTTCTACACTTAATGCTCATCAACCTCCTTCCTGAGGGGAGCAGAGCAAAAAGTGTGTGTGCTGGGTGAGTGTGGTCCTTCATGATGCAGGTGGCCCTCTTCCTGCATCTGGAGGTGTAGATTTCTGTGATGGTGGGGAGGCTGACTCCAACATCTTCTGTGCAGCCTTCACCACTCTCTGCAAAGCTTTTCTTTCTGCAGCTGTGCAGCCTCCATGCCACACGTTGATGCTGGAGCACAGGATGCTCTCCACTGCACACCTGTAGAAGGAGGTGAGGACTGAACTTCCCAGACCAGCTCGTCTCTGAGGAAGTAGAGTTTCTGATGAAATCTCCAATGCACGTTAAGTTTTCTCTTCAAAATGAGTGTCCATGACCGTCAGAATGTGACTGAACAAGTTTTCACAAACGAAGAAAAAGCAGATGACGTAATTGATAAGAGAGGAAAGACTAATTTGGCGTTGTGGAAGTGTTTCAGCTATCTAAGATCTGATAAACTGCAGGTTTCAGTCAGTGTGCTGCAAAATGTGACGGAGAGTCAAGAATAAAAGTTTGAGCTGAGGTGTCTCTGAAACAACACCCCGAGCTGTATCAAAAGAGAAACACAAGCAGCGAACTCAGAAATTTACTGCATGTGTTGTTTGGTTATGCAGTTTAAAGTTAAAACTATTAATATTGACAATGTTGAGAGTTACATTTTTTGAAGGCTAAATATAAATAAAAGGTGAACATTAATTTATTTGTACAGTTTATACAGTTTTTCCAAGGCTTTTATATTGTTTATGTCAATATCGAATTATATCGTTATCGACCAAAATTAAGAAATATATCGTGATATAAGTTTTGGTCATATCGTCCAGCCCTAGGGTCTGTTATTACTCACAATAAAAGCTTTCTGAGAGGGAGGCAGTTGGACATGGAGGCTCCGCCCCATTTAATGATGGATGGGTTCTCTTCACAAAGATGGCTTCCTTCACTCCTCTCTCAAACCAACATTTCTTTCCATCAAGCACATGCACATGTTCATCTTGTTTCTTTCTCAGGGGTCTTTGTTCCTGAGGACCTGACTGAACCTCGTTGAGCAGCACCAGGGCATGTTGCACTGCTGGTTGTTTTAGGAATTAGATTTATATGAAGTTATTAAACAGAAATCTATTTTTAAGTGTAAATTGCATCTTCAGTTTGTGACACGTTTTTAAATGGAACATGTTGGTAATCAGTAGCTAATTTAATTTACTGTAATCTTACATAACAAAGACTTTGCAGGTGTTGACTGCAGCTGCAGAAGGGGCTTCATGTGTTGAAGGTAAAGATCCAGAGATTTCCGAGTCCACAGAAGTGTTCATCTTTGATGTGGTTCATTACACCTGAGCAGGAGCTCACCTGACTGAGTGTTGGAGACCAGAGAATATGTACATTTTCAGGTGCAGTCTCACTGAATTCTTAGCTTGCGACCAACAAGACTGTTTTTGGAATCTGGCCTGTTTCTGTGTGCATGGCATGCAACACTGAATTCTAAGCCTGGCACTTTATTTTCCTGCCTACCACCACCTCATATGAAATTAAATAAAAATCTGCCTCATTTATACTGACGAGTACAACTGCTGTCTTTATTTTCTGTGATAGTCATAAAATGCAAATTGTTTGGTAGTTTGCTTTAATATGACAACATGCTTGTGTAGTAAAAAGGGAAAAGTACTCCCCGATTAATTTATCATGCCTCTGGCTTCATTTATGTTCTAGAATTGCTTCGCTCCAGGGGGCTGCATTTTGGAGAAGCTCTTTACTTTGATTCTGAGATATTGCTTTAGAAAACTTTAATTCCTCTTTTTCTGGATGCAAATCTCTTTTTGGATGATTACTTCCTCTGGTATCACATGCTGTGCAGCTGGAAGGATTTTTACTGAAACCTCTTTACTCTTGGACATTTGTTATGATGCGTAACCATGACAACAAGGTGTTTTTAACAACAGGGAGCAGCTGATTAACATCTCAAAAAGTTCAAATAATACCTTAACTACAGCCCCAAATCCCAAATGAATTGTAAAGGAGGCATCGTGGATGCATTCCCATCTACCTGGCAGAGGTGCTCCAGTACCTGACCGCCAAGATCCTGGAGCTGGTAGGAAACACAGCTCATGACAACGGGAGGATTTGATTATCCCCCAACACCTGCAGCTCTTTGTCTGCAATGATGAGGAGCTCAACAAGCTGCGGGGAGGAGTGATCATTGCTCGAGAAGGAATTATGGCTGGCATCTGCCCAGGAGGACCAAAAGATCCACCCTGTCCAGATAGACAGATTGATACCTGTGTCTATATTCTTCAGATCTGTTGGACGGACCGCTGCGGGGATCCTTCCTGCTCACAGCCATCAGCATGTAGAACAACTCTTTTATGAAACCAGGGTTATGAGCTACAACATTTATTTTACCTTTGGATTTTTCATTCATTCAACCTTTATTTAGAAAGACTAATCCCATTGAACCTTGGGGACTCATTAACAAGAGGATTAATTAAAGGATTAATAAAATGGAGTGGAATAATAAATATCATAAAAGTCCATGCTCAATAATCCAGGTATACAATCCAACAATTGTCAGTCAGGTCATCTGGACGGTTTCTTTTTTTGCTGAAACATTTCACCTTCCATCCGGAAGGCTTCATCAGTCAAGAAAGCACACAGCACAAAACTGATTCTTCCCCCAAACAGGAGCATTGACTTTTTTGGTTTTGAACCAGTTTGACATGACTGCCATCGTGGAAGAGGGCCGGCAACAGAGGAGGGGGTGTGCCAAAGACACCATCTTAGCACCAACATAACTGGTTTGTTCCAGTTTGGAGTAAGCTGTTTGAGGGAAGAATCAGTTTTGTGTTGTGTGTTTCCTTGACTGATGAAGCCTTTTGGATGGAAGGTGAAATGTTTCAGCAAAAAAAGAAACCGTCCAGATGACCTGACTGAAAATTGTTAGATTAATTAAGATCATTGCTTCCAAACCTATCTAAGTAAAGGTTGAATGAAAAAATTCTGAGGCCATGGTCGTGAGCTGGAAAAGGGTAGAGTGCTTTCTCTGGGTCAGGAAGGAGGTCCTGCCCCAAGTGGAGGAGTTTAAGTATCTCGGGGTCTTGGTTCACGAATGAGGGAAAAATGGAGCGAGAGATGGATAGGCGGATAGTTGCGGCATCTGCAGTGAAGCGGGCACTGTACCAGTCTGTCGTGAAGAAAGAGCTGAGTCAAAAGGCAAAGCTCTCGGTTTATCGGTCTATCTACATTCCTACCCTCTTTGGGTTGGGTTGTCTCCCTTTGGGTTGTGACCGAAAGAACAAGATCACAGGTACAAGTGGCTGAAATGAGTTTTCTCTGCAGAGGATCTGGGCTCTCCCTTAGAGATAGGGTGAGAAGCTCGGTCATCTGGGAGGGACTCGGAGAAGAGCCGCTGCTTCTTCATGTTGAGAGGAGCCAGTTGAGGTGGCTCTGGCATCTGGTTAGGATGCCACCTGGACGCCTCCCTGGTGAAGTGTTCCAGATATGTCCCACTGAGAGGAGACCCAGAGGAAGACCCAGGACACACTGGAGGGACTACGGCATGTTTCTCGGCTGGCCTGGAAACGCCTTGGGAGTCACCTGGAGGAGATGGCCCAAGTGGCTGGGGAGAGGGAAATCTAGGCCTCCCTACTTAGGCTGTTACCTCCTGCGACCCGAACCCGGATAAGCGGAAGAAAATGGATGGATGGATGGATGGATTAATAATGTATCTTTGAATTTAATTTAGAGGAGCTGGGAGAAAGTCATTCCTCTTGCTGGTAAACTCAAAGTAAGGGAAAAGCTCCAAGTCCAAATTTAGGTCTCCCTTTTAATTCCTTAAAATGTATTTTTCAATGATTTTCTTGTTGTGTTTTCAGGAGGTTCGTCTGATTGACTATGAGAAGATGGTTGATGCTAATGGTTATCGAATCGTGGCGTTTGGTCAGTGGGCAGGTGTTGCAGGTACGTGATCATAGATTATTCCATTAGTATTCTTCATTAGTTCTGAAGAGTACGGTAGTTGTTCTGACGCTGTTGTACCAGCAAACATCAAAGGGTAGATCATTTACTGGAAACCACATTTACCAGACTGGGATATGACCACAGCTGCTAAATCAATTAAAACAACCATTCTTGACTCATGCTGATGAAGATTCTCAGTCATCCAGGACATGATGAATTCAAAAAAGCGTTCAATACAAAAACAACTGGACAAAGAGAAAAGCCGTCTCTTAACAGAGGAAGAGGCCTCAGATTTTCACTATCTAAAACATATAATGCAACTTTAAGACAGATTCCCAGCCGGTTTTCACACCTGACGGGAACAGAGGGGCCTCGTCTGTGAATTAGAGGAACAAAAGACTCTTACTGTTAAGGTGTTTAGGTGTGAATTGCCAATCTACATATGTGTGTGTGTCTTATCTCACTCAGCCTTATAACCTGAATCCCTCACTCACTGCTCTTTGAATTGAGTAAGCTCCTTGGATGAGGAGCGAAACGTCTTCTGTTACAAATAAAGTCCTGTTGTTTTTTTATTGAACGCTATTTTGAACCATTCTTGACACTGTCAGTACATTTCACCTGACTGTAAAGGAAAACTAGTCTACAGTCTTCCATCCTCTGAGCATCAGGACATAATAAACTTATCTGATCAAGCTCAAAGTTAAGGTTGTTTACTGTCATTCGCATCACATGTGGTACATGAGGTGGAATGAAATTGTGTACACCGGGTCCCAGTTACATCCAACAAAAGTAAATTGTAAACGAAAAATAGTATTAAGATCTAAGATATGAACTAAGAAATGTGCTAAACTAAGAATACGCTAAACACGTAATAGTTCAAAAACAATACGCCCGAACAACAGCAGCACGAACATGAGTCTGTGTGAGCAGATGAATACGAATGACTACAGCAGCATGAAATAAATCAGCAGCATGAGATCAGCATCATGGATAGTCAGCAGCACATATCAACAACCAAGTGGCGTTAGTGATTTTTTTTCCACAGTGTGATAATCCTGAATAAGGATTCATGAGTAACAGCTTCAGGGTAGAAGCTGTTCCTCAGCCTAGTGGTTCTACACTTAATCTTCCTCAACCTTTTGCCTGAGGGGAGCAGGGCAAAAAGTTTGTGTGCTGGTTGAGTGGGGTCCTTCATGATGCAGGTGGCCCTCTTCCTGCATCTGGAGGTGTAGACGTCTGAGATGGTGGGGTGACTGACTCCACCAGTCTTTTGTGCAACTTCACCACTCTGCAATGGTTTTCTTTCTTCAGTTGTGCAGCCTCCATGCCACACGTGGATGCTGGAGCACAGGATGCTCTCCACTGCACACCTGTAGAAGGAGGTGAAGACTAAGCTTCCTAGTCCAGCTTGTCTCAGCCACCTGAAGAAGTAAGAGTCTCTGATGAACTTTCTTGATCAGGCTAGTAGTGCTGTTGCCCCAGCTGAGTTTGTCGTTCAGGTGCACACCCAAGTACTTGTAGCTGGAGATCACTTCCACTGCAGATCCTCCTATATGCAGGGGGTGGGAGGTAAGTGTGTTTGTTCCGTCTAAAGTCCACGACCATCTTCTTCATCTTCTTCACATTGATGTGAAGGTTATTCTTCCTGCACCAGCTCTCCAGGTGTTCCACCTCCTGCCTGTAGCTGGACTCATTGTTGTTTACGATTCATCCCATGGGTAGCTGCACAATCATACATGAGCAGAGTAAACAGGAGAGGGCTCAGCACACATCCCTGAGGGGAGCCAGTGCTGAGGGTTATGGTGGTGGAGGAGAAGTTGTGGATCCTCACTGACTGTGACCTATCTTTTAAGTAGTCCTGAGGAAACATGGTCTTTCATTCCATTGCTATGCTGATGACTGCCAGATCTACCTGCTTGTGAAACCAGCAAGTGTTTGCTCCATTCACCCTCTGTTAAAATGTCTGGACGACATTAAGGCCTGGATGGCTTCAAATTTCTTAAGTTTTAACAATGAGAAGACTGAAGTCATTGTCTTTAGCCGTAGCTCAACTGCCGCCACTGATCCTGTCAACCTGGACTCTCTTCAGCCATATCTTACGCAGTCTGGTAAAAAATCTCGGGATGGTTTTAGACTCCGACTTCAAGTTTGACAAACTCTGTTCTGCAGAAAAGCTTCTTCCAACTCAGACAGGTAGCTAAGCTCAAGCCAGTGTTGTCCAGACCCGACCTTGAGAAACTTGTCCACGCCTTTGTCACGACCCGATTGGACTATTGTAACGCACTGTATGCTGGGATCAGCCAGGCCTCCATCTCACGTCTTCAGCTTGTCCAGAATGCTGCTGCTCGGCTTTTAACCGGAACTCGTAGGTCTGAACATATTCCTCCAGTTCTGTCCTCCCTTCACTGGCTCCCTGTTCCTACGAGGATAGTCTTTAAAATTCTTCTGTTGACCTTCAAATGCCTAAATGGCCTCGCACCCCTTTACCTCTCTGAGCTTCTGGAACCTTACGTTCCCTCTCGGGCCCTGAGATCATCAGATCAGCTGCTTTTGGCTGTTCCTAAAACAAGAAGCTCAGAGGAGATTGGGCTTTTTCAGTCATGGGCCCCAAACTCTGGAACAACCTGCCCCCCAGCATCAGGCAGGCCACCTCCCTTCCTCACTTCAAATCCCTGCTGAAAACTCATATGTTCTCTCAGACATTTCATACAGTGTAAATTGATCTAGTGTTTTTTTAATCTGTGACACTATGTTTTAAATGCTTTTTATTAATTCTTCAGTTATTATTATTAGTGTATTGTATATATATGTTTATATATTTTTCTCTTTAATTTACTCATTGATTGTTGTTGTTGTTAAGCACTTTGATAACAGGTCCTGTTTTAAATGTGCTCTATAAATAAAGGTGACTTGACTTGACTAGTCTAGGACCTGAAGGGCTTAGTCCTAGTGTCAGGAGTTTGTCCATCAGGGTTTGGGGGATCATGATATTGAAGGCAGACGTGAAGTCCACAGAGTATATGGACATAGGGAAACTGGTGCAGAAGAAGAGTTAATGGAATATAATGGAGAAAAAAAACTGAAAAGTAAATTTTTGATAAAAGTTAAACATTGTAGAGTGTTTGTCTTGTTTTTTTACAGGAATGATCAACAGTCTGCATGGATTGGGGCTCCGCTTCTTGGCTCTCGGCCATCACACTCCCTTCATGGTAAGTCAACTCAATCAATACACAAATACCTTGCCCTAAAAAGTACACCTCAAAAGTATTTTAATATTTAATCTTTTCTGTTTGTAGCATATTGGCATGGCACATAACTACAGGAACGTCAGCCAGGCCATCCAAGCAGTGAGGGATTGTGGATATGAGATTTCTATAGGGCTCATGCCCAAATCCATCGGTCCCGTCACATTCTGTTTCACCGGAACAGGAAATGTCTCCAAGGTACACAAAGGTCCAACTGTAGACACAAACAATACCATGTACTAGGGGTTGAACGACTACATAATTTTTAAACACAACATTAACATAATAAAACTACAGTAGAACTCGAGTAGTTGATGACATCATAGGATCTAAAGATGAAAAAAAATAAATAAATAAAATAAAACCGCAAAAAAGCGTAATTTATTATTTACAAAAAAAGACCAACAAAACATTGGGAGAGTATATTATGCTCCTATCATTTATCATACTGCAAATAAGTCACAGGAAAACCAAAACTATTCGTTATTATTATTAAGCTGCAAAAGTGAAAGAAACGTGCAGCACGTCAAAAACTAAACTAAAAAACAGTGGGAGGGTCGACCACCCCACACCACCACCAGCTGTGGTGCGCATTAGGTTTATAGATTAATATGTTTATAGTATCCTGATACATGCTCAATAATCCAGGTAGAAAAATCGAAAAAAGTTCAATCTGGTCCTCTGGACATTCAAAAAACAAGAAAACAAAAAAGACAAAAAACAAAACAAAGCAAAAAAATGTAGAAACGTTTCGTCTCTCATCCGAGAGACTTCCTCAGTCTGAGGTGCTGTATTCAGCTCAGTCTCTTAAATAGCACCTTCTCAGAGTGGATCAACCAGTTTGCTGCTGACAACCAGAACCAGCTGATCACATGCTCAAGAAGGACCATCAGCCTAGCAATGGATCATTAGCACCTGATGGCTGTTTACTATTCACAGGGGGTTGAGTGATACTAGCAATCACAGCATTGTAAGAGGGGGACAGTTGAACCCACAGTCCTCCACCCCTGTTTAATGATGGACGATTTCTTTTCACAAAGATGGCCTCCTTTACTCCTCTCTCAAACCATCGTTCCTCTCTGTCCAGGATGTGAACATCCTCATCCCTGAAAGAGTGACCACTGGCCTTGAGATGAGTGTAGACATCAGAGTCCTGGCCTGATGATGTTGATCTTCTGTGCTGGGCCATCCTTTTGGCCAGTGGCTGTTTAGATTCCCCGATGTAAGACTGATCACCCTCCTGACACTGAACAGCATACACAACATTGCTCTGTTTGTGCCGGGGGACTGGATCTTTGGGATGAACCAGTCTTTGCCGTAATGTATTTTGGGGTTTAAAAGCCACTGGGACGTTATGTTTAGAAAATAAACGTCTCAGTTTCTCTGATACTCATAACCACTTATGAACCTCTGAAAAGAGATCTAGGAAGTGGTTACAAGAAGGAGTTAATAGATTGCCTGAAAAATTTGGAGCAGGACAAGGCTATTGACCATATCAATCAATCAACCTTTATTTATACAGGTAAATCCCATTGAGCCTCGAGGACTCATTTACAAGAGAGACCTGATATTCTGTACCACAGACTGTACCCAGGGGAGGCCACACCTAGTCTGTATGGTTTACCTAAAATCCACAAACAAGGTGTACCTTTAAGACCTATTGTTAGCATGATTAACTCTGTCACTTACAATGTTTCCAAATATCTGGCGTCTGTACTCATCCCTTTAGTTGGCAGCTCAGAACACCACATACAGAACACCATGGACTTTGTGGATAAGGTGAGGGATGTCATCATGAAGACTGATGAAACAATGGTCTCTTTTGATGTCACATCACTCTTTACGTGCATTCCTGTTGATGATGTAGTAGAGGTGGTCAGTTTAAAATTAAAGTCAGACACCACTCTGAGCAGCAGGACCACGCTTTCCACAGAACAACTGTGTCAACTCTTGAAACTGTGCCTGCAGTCAACCTACTTCACATATGGGGAG